CGCTGACTTGATTCAAGCTCAGTTTGAGTACCATCAGACCTGTTTTTTAATGTTAATTCATTCTGTGTTTGTTTTTCTATTTTTGTTCTTAACTGATTGTGACGCACTTTGGTCCACTCTGTTGCTTCTAAATGTGCTGTAGAAATAAAATTTGAATTGAACTGAATCAAAACATAGTATAAGTTAAAGTAATGGCAATATTTTAAATGACATGTGGACATTATTTACATTTACAGTGTACCCACTCACTACTACATTGCATTTCCTTCCTCTTGTACACCAAAAGTAGAGCAGCATCCAAACCAAACCACTAACTACCTCTTAGATGTTTTTCTTTGAGAATGGCTGGGCTATTTTTGTTTCTTTTACAAATTAAACAATTCCTTATGAGTCCAGCAGAGGGCAGCACTCTCTTTAACAGGAGAGACTAACTGAGGTTAGAATAGAGCGGGGGAGCAGCTAAGCTAAAACAGTGTAGGTGACACTGATCATGAAGTAAGTTTGTGGATGATATTGGGGTTTGCTTTATTTATTTATTTAGCCTCAAATGCAACAAAAGCAAAACCTCATTAAAACTGCAAACTGAATGTTCCTGATGAAATCTAATCACGATAAGCAGCACTGACTAGCAGCTGGATCAACAGAGAGGAAACGGTCTATCTGAGCTGCTTCCTTCATGGAGATGTGAGACACGTTGCAGTCATCGGGCACTCAGTGATTAAGAGGGAAAATCCAGACTTGAAAATTCACAATGCTTTTCCTTGTGACTTGTGTGTTTACTGGCGTTGGCATGAATGAGCACACGTGCACAAACATCCACATGCAAATGTGTGTGCACATTTAAAAGGGTCAGTCCCAAACTGCTGCTTAAACATTCATGTGCCAATCTCTTCCTCTCCCTTTCAACACGGCAGACTCTGTTTGTCTGCTGCTCCGAGCATACCTGGCATTTTTTGTGGGTTGTGAGCGGTGGGGGCTGGGAGAGAAGGTGTTTAGTGATCTGGAGGGAGCCATTCAAGCGAGCATTTTGGCTTCTGAATCACTCAGATGTGGTGCGCGATTCTAATCACGGATCCAAAAACAGAAAAGTAATACACCATGCTAGACTGCCATATGTGCTGATACCTCCAGTCTGCGATTAATCAGGGTGCACATGTTGTTTAGTCACTCGCAAATTACTGTTCTTACACAAGGCTTAGGTGCAGTTTGCACTCCAGATGTAAGACAACCTGCTAATCAGTCTGGCACCTGGCTGCCTTGTCCTTGAGATGCTACCATAACTCCTGAGTGTGAAAAACAGGCATGTATATAAATGGAAACAGAAGAGAGGAGGTAAGGACATCAAGACTGTGAGACATATAGAAAGACAGAGAGAGGGAGGATGATGAGAACAGCAGCAGCCCCTTTGATGTGGGCCTCAGCGGGGCCCTGTATGTCTAAGACGAGGCTGAGGGAAGGGGATTTCCAGCACTGCTCGGGCTTCTGTCTCACCCCCTTAGCCTTTGCTTCCTCCGTGGGCTACAGTTTAAAAACAGAGAGCCTGTCTTCAAAGACGAAGCCCCTGCAGCCAGGACCATCACTTGAGAATGACAGCTATTGTCATCCCAGTGATAACACATGGTTACAGTCCCACGTTCCCAAAGGGGACGGGGGTACACATGATAAAGTTTGGTTATGTTTGCATGCCACACAATGACACTAAGGAATCATTATTGTTCCGTGTATGCGTCGCAGTGCAACATTTGCATGCTTTGTTGCACTTTGTTGATTTTTTTCAGTGATTTTCGTTTTACCTCAAACACACGCACACAGACCCACACATATGCATGTGTTGATTTTTTGATTCTTTTTCACATGCATCGAAAATACACGATGCATGATTAGGATCTCCGCTTCACTACTGCCAAAGCTCTTTTTCTCACACATGTTGCAGTTCACACCACACTACACTCTCTGGCTGTCTGCACACAGTGCCCTTTGCACACCCAAACACACATGCACACACCCAAATGCAGAAACATGCACTTCACTGTCAAGTACTGTACGCACACACACACACACACTATGTGGTGGAAAGTCCCTGGCACTAGCTGCCTACTATCTCAGCTACAAGTTTGCTAGTACAGGTGGCTGCCACGGTGACAACAAGGCTAACACAGTATGACCTGTGAACCCACAGGGTACTTTACTGACCTGCAGGTGTAATAAACCTTGCAGGGGCTAAAATTAAGTAATAAACATCACATGTGCAATATTTTCATTACCTAGTCTATTAACTCATATTGCAAAAAAATAAAAAATACAAATTGCAGTGGGATAAATGCACAGAAATGTTTCCTAGTCTTTGCTTTGCACTATAGTTTTGGCAAGCAACACCATCGCTATAGTTAAAAAGTGCAAAACTCACTTTTACAATTCAAACATGCATATGATACAGAAGGAAATGTCTGCAAACTGTATTTTTTTCTGTAGGTCTTTGATGTTGATGTCTTCATGCTGCTTTATTGTTTTATATATATATATATATGAGTCAGTAAAAGCACCGGACAGGATATCATTCTTATCAAGCCATGACTCAGGCTCATGACACTAATCAAATCACCGTGTCCTTGATTACAATCTGTAAGTTGTCTTCATCTGGACACAAGTCATGGTAAGTGCTGACGCTTTGTGAAAAGTCCCGGCATGAGGCTGACATCAGTCTCATTTCCCAAAACCATTTTAAGGTTATAATGGTGGTAAAATCCGTTTTATGAACCCAATTTAACGTTTAGGTGTTTTCCAAAACCAATTGATACATGCTATATCACAAAATAGCTCTCAGAGATTAGAAAGAGGATAAGAGCAGCACAAAAAACTCACAGTTTGGTTTTTTTTTTTGGCTCATGCACATTTCCTGATGGAACATATTGCGGTTCCGTGTTCTGTGTTGTTTGCCATATGCTTAAATACCCACTGCAACAAACAAATGAACAAAAAGGGTAGCATAAACTGTTGTTTTAATGCATTCATTTCTCACCCCAAATCACTTTAGATTGGATTATCAAAATTATAGCAGGAAATGCAACAATCAAATAATTGTGCATGAGCAAGGAACTGGTGACTGTGGGGAGAAAGAAACCTCTGCCAGCACTAGAAAGGGCAGCCACCTGTTGCTAACAGTTTCCAAGTGTTGCGTGCGATGAAATAGAAGAGAGAAAAGAAGATGATAATCTTAAATCTGATTGGCTAACCTTCCAGGAGCACAGACCTAATTGATTTTTAACTGTTATTGAAGGCAGTGCAAATGAAGCACCGCAAACACGAATAAACTACAAAGTGATGTAAAAACTACCACAATAGAAAAAAAGCTACAAAAATGTAGGCAGTGTGGCTGCAAAGTGAGAGACAATGTAATCACAAAGCGCTAAAAGACTAAAAGAAAGACACAAATTGACTGAAAAAGAAACCAAAAAACCACCACAGACAGTAGTTCAGGGTTTTTTAGGCCCTGGGTTTTTCACTCGGGGTGTTTTGCCTCTATGTAGGAGGGGAAGGGGAACCATTTACGTGTCTGTTAATGAACCTACATTTTACTTTCACTATTCATGTGCTGCTGTAGTCGGGATGTAAAGTGCAAACAGGTTTAGCAAAGGTGTGCAAACTGTTCATCGTTGACATCTGCCTGACAGTTCAAGCGCCGTTGGAAGTTTGAAGGAGCAGCAGTGGGTCATTTTGGGCGTTTTGACTCTGAAAAAAGCTGAATGGTCAGCGAGTGCTGTGTTCTGCAGGGTGGAGGCCTGATGCTTTTTTTTCAGAAAGATTGATGTAACTGCTGGTCATGGCAAAGAGTAGTGAAACATCCTCTGCAGAATAATGTGCCTGCATGGGCGGAGTGTGGCACTGCAAAAGGACATTAAGGTCCAAATGTAAACTTTAGGTACTTTCCTCAGTAAAGAGCAACAACCACCCCCCCTCCCCTCCCCTAACCTCCCCCCTCCCACACCTCCAATGGTGTCTGTCACTGCTGTCAGATCTGAACAGCGTGAACATGGATCTGAAACAAGAAGGCAGTGAATATGTCAGGTGGCTTACGGGTCAGCTCGTGGTGTTTCGTGGGTTGCCGGTGACAAAAATAATAGGGACTCTATTTGTGTGCACTCTTTGAAACACTCTCGTTTTTACCATTCACAAAACAAAGACAGAAGTTGGAATGATAAATGTCTACAAAACAAAAGGGAGATTCAAGTTCTCTGCTTCTTATCATTCATTTGATAACCATAGTCAACGAGGTTAAGAACAGTGGGCAAAGCAATTGTGGAGCTATTTGTTTAATTGTTGCATTTTCTGTATCGTGAATATCCCGGCACAACATAGCAGCCCGCTGCAAGAGGGCTTTATTTTCTGAAATGACCGAGATCCTTTAATATGTGTCGGATGATGTGTTTTTTGTATTCTGTGTTAAGCTGGTGCCATGTTCTGTGCTGTGGTGTGCTGGAGCAGCAGACCGAGGGTAAAACACACCAACAGACTCAACAGACTGAGCTGCAAAGTCAGTAACACTGTGGGTGTGGACCTCGCCTATCTGATTGTGGTGTTTAGACAGTCCTTCCCACCACAACATGCTGGACAGTCACAGGAGGACGATCAACACAAGACTGTTTCCACGATGATCCGCTGCAGGATATCATTCCTACCCATTTCCATCTTGTTTATGTTCTACAATTTGTTTCATTTTACTTTAGAATATTTATTTTGAACAAATTGCACCTTGAATGGAATACCTTTTATTTACAGGATTTTCATATTTTCTATCTTTAACATTTATAGGTTGATTGACCCAACCGGTCGCAGCAGATGGCCCCGCCCCTCCCTGAGCCTGGTTCTGCCGGAGGTTTCTTCCTGTTAAAAGGGAGTTTTTCCTTCCCACTGTCGCCAAAGTGCTTGCTCATAGGGGGTCATATGATTGTTGGGTTTTTCTCTGTATCTATGAAGCGCCTTGAGGCGACTTGTTGTGAATTGAATTGAATTGAATTGAATTGAATTGAATTGAATTGAATTGAATTGAATTGAATTGAGCATGTGTAACAAAGCAACTTCTCCCCTGGCATTCTGACTTGAATTCTGATTGACAGTCAGTTACAGTGAAAGTGGGTATTGATGAAACATTAGGGCTTGAATTGCATATTGCACATAACACATAGTACCTCTTATTTTATTCCATGTCACATACTCTGTAGCTGAAAAGCCAATTAATTAATTAATTAATTAATTAAATAATAATAATAATAATAATAATAATAATAATAATAATAATAATAATAATAATAATAATAAAAGTGAGTACAGACTGCTACAAAACTATGTAGCTTATTTCATCTGTTATGACAACAACAGCAGCATAAAGTTAAACCAAAGTTAGCATAGCCTATCATTTAATATCATGGCCCTAGCTGACCAAGTTAGCATTAGCATTAGTCACCCATCTGCATTCTTATTCAAATATGGTCATATTTGATGGTCATCCAGCTCTGCAAAGAAACAAAATGTAAATTGCTACGATGCAAACGTCGAGACTGCCCATAAGCTACTGGGTGATATCACTGTGGATGCATCCATCTTTTATATACAGTCTGTGCTTATTTTCATGCTATAGCTCAGTTGTACACAAATGTAATGATACGTGCTATAAATAACATGATAATTGTCAAGGTCCTGAGTCTGGTGACCCAGTGTTTGTGTGTTTGGTTTAAGTTATACTCTGAATTATTCTGTTTGTATGATACTTAGAGTTCCTGGTTTCTAGGTTTCTGTTCTCCGTGTGTTCTATGCTTAGTCTTGGTTGTCTGTCTTTATGTCCTCCCTGTGCACCATGTCCTGTTACTTTTTGTCTCAGCTGTGTCTCCCTTACCTTGTGTGTAATTGTGCTTCTCTCTGTCCCTCGTTTTCCCCCATGTTGCCTTGGCTTGTCATCCTGTGTGTCTCCTCTGGATACCTCTTCTCTCCTTCCCCTCACATTTCCAGGTTTTCTACATTTTTGTTTCCAGTTTTCAGGCTTCATGTAGTGTTTAGTTTTCCTAGTAACAGTTCCTTTAGCCGCCTGTAGTCGTTCTTTGCTTAAATTTGTAGTTTTGTTCAGTTCAATAAAAACTCGCTTTCTTTTCATCGTCACCCTTTATCTCCGATTGCCTGTGTTTGAGTCCACGCTTCATTCATTTCATTTCGGCTGCCGTGACAATAATAAGAAATTAACAGGTAAAACTTCTCCTCCTATGTTAGATAACTAAAAAGCATATTCAAATAGGACGTTACTTTAAAGAGTATAAAAAGTGGTGGTGTGCAATACTCCAGATTTTGGCATTGATCCCAAGTAAATACAGGGCCGGTACTGACAATAGTTAATAGGAATGTATTTTTTCCTTTACTTTGGGTTTTCTCCTGGGTGCAGCACACCAAGCTGTAAAGAACAATTATATAAGCAACATCCTTCACTGGATTCTTGCTGAAAAGTGACAAATTAAAATAATAGGAATTCAATAAAAACTGGAAGTTTAAAGCAAATGATATAAGAAAAAAAAGCTACGGGACGCTAAACTGATTCCATAGAGGGAGATCATAATTCTCATTAAGCAGCACACGTCACAGCACAAACTGAGATCTTATAAAAATGAAACAGAGTTCAGCTTTAAATGTCATTCATTTCCAGGGTGCAGCAGCACTCCCGTGCTTTCAGTAATGTGGAATTCATAGCACAAAAATAGCATCTGAAACTCTTTTCATTTCATAGTGAGATGTACTGATCTTGAAAGAAGAACGTCAGCTCTGGTATTTATAGTGTAGCTTCCTGTCTGCTAACAGAAACAGATGTGACAAGACATGGTGGACAAAGCGCCACTGTTTTGAACGCCCTTCCACGACGGGATAAAAATATGTCTTTACCGCATCCACTTTACTCAAACCAGGGTGTGCCCAGTCACCTACATGTTCCTGAAGGAATAACAGACAAGAAGGCCAAATAAATAGAGAGCGTGACTCTCAAGGAAGTGGTAAGGTTTTATTAAAGGCCACGTGAGAAGGAGAATGGGAGCAAACCAAGCCCAGAGAGACACAACAGACCCTGATTTCTTAAACAAAGTCAGGTTCGTATTACTCGACGCCTTTTGTGCTCCCTGTTCCAAAGGAGTTATGCGAAGAGCTGCAGACTACGTTGACCTGCATCAGCGTTAACGAGAACATCCCGTTCCGAGTCTCAAAATGCTAATACAAGGAAATCTCCCATCATCCTGGAGGAGAGGAAACTCCCTGCTTTTGTTGTGCTGCGGCCAACCCACGCAGCAGCAAAACAATAGATATTTTTAGCCCCCTTTGTCAAATTTAACCCACTTAGCAGTGCCGTTAAACTAAAATTGCTATTTTCATTTCTGGAGGGTTTTCAGGCAAGCAGAGTCCTGTCTCCTGCTCGCTGCTTTGATGAAACACTTATGGCTGAAAAGCGTTTCTTGTTTTGCTTTTTTCCCTCCTTTGTCATAGGACGTGCGGTGAGGTGCACTCAGAGCCCACGGTACCAAACAAAGCTTCACAGTTAAGTGCTTGTTATGTCTGTGCTTTAGACGCTGTACCGTATATTTACAGAAAAAGATTTGGCTCTTTTATCCTCCCTTTAAATTTCCTTAACACAAAGGATCCCACACCAGCCTGTTTGTCTGTCTGTGGGGAAGCCGATCATGACACACGGGGGAAACATGAGAAGAAGAACAGAGGGAAGCAGTCGACCAATTCATTGTCCCGACTTGAGGATTCAGGGGGACGAAAACACACGGAGGCATGCAGTGAGAGAGGAATTCCCCTTAGTAGGTTCAAATGATTGCAGATGTGTGCCTGGCGGACCGCTACTGTGCACATCTGGGCCCAGAAAGCTGCCCCGCGCCTCCTCTTCCATCCGCCGAGCCCTCCACGTCTCATCTGTATAACGCTGCCCTGCGCTCTACCCTGGAAAAGTAATTAGGTGGAACACATGGCCGCGGTAAACTGCTGCTTGCCAGGCAGCCAGAGTACCGGCTGCGGTGGATCTGTAGCAGAGCGTGTATCACGGGAGTCCTGAAAAGGCCATTATCTTGGCGGCGGGGAGAATAGATTTTGGCGTGCGGAAAGTTTGGGGGATTTCAGAGAGGAGAGATGCAGCCTGTAAGCTTTGGTGCTGCTGGAGGTCAGCAGTAGTCTACAGCCTCTGCAGAATTTCAATTTTAGCATGTAGTTTTATGAACTCCAACACATGTGGGCATTTTGAAAGGCACAGTCTACTCTTGGTATTAAAAACAGAGGCATTAATGAGTAAGCATGCTTGCCTGGGCAGTTTGTTGCTAGATTTGGAGGACAGGATGTCCTCTTGAACAGAGAATTACTTTTACTCATCGACCTGTAATAACACTCATATAAACCGGAGTCATCGCCTGGCACCTTTTACCTGACACACACCTGTTTTATCTCCTGAAACGGAGCCGTGCACCTGAGTCAGGCTGGCGTGTTTGTGTTCAGTCAGAGACAACAGCCGTTTCACACGAGCTAAAAGTCACACGGCGCGCATGCACGCTCATGCTGCTGGGAAATTCCCAGCAAAAATTCCACTCTAGCAGTCCTCTGTGAACACATTCCTGAGTTTTTCATAACATCTCACAGCTGAAATGAAAGCCAAACTTGCAGTTATGGGGCAGTTTTGAAGATTCAGTTTACCCTCAAGCTAGCAATAAATCTTCCCAGACCAAGGATACTGCATGTAAGCTCATAACCCTGCTAGATTTCCTGGATGCAGCTCACTCTGGGAATGTCAGAGAGCTTGAAGGAACAGGCAGAGGATGAGACGAAAGGAATTCTCTAGGTGCTTGAAAGTATTTTTTTTAAATCTGAATGTGTATTAAGGTTAATTAACGAACCAGGGTCTATGCTTCTGCCACGCCAGCACCTTGTATGGTTTGTATAATTTTCAGGAACAGCTTTCTCATTCCAAATTCCCCTTGAATTCCCTTCACTGACTTCACAGCTATTTATTCCGAATCCCGTTTGCCTATCTAACATAACCAAATAAGGTCGATGAGAGCATGATTTCCATTTGCGGACAATGTGGATACACAATTAATGAATACATAAGTGTGCAAAAAGGGGGGATTTTTATAGGGGGGTAACTGGGATCTTTCATTTTCTCCTTATTAGCGCACCGCAATCTATCAAGCAGTGGTCACACTTCAAGGGTGCTTAATATTTGGTAGCACAACAGTATAATTTTCTTGTATGCTGCTGACACCGGTTTGATATTTCTCTTTCATCCTCGTGTATATACTGGTCCAAAGCCCAGTTGGTTTGGCCGCTGCTGCACGGTACAGTTGGCATTGCTGCGATTGCAGCAGGGTGTTTCCTCTCTTCCTAAGCCATCAGGAGATCACTGACTTCAGTCTGTTATTACTGAGGCCACCACCAAATAATGGCCTCCAAAATTACTTGACATGGGCTTTCCAGTTTTTTTTGTATCTACCATCCCTCTTTCTCCTGGTATTGTGCAGTTTTTCCACTTTATTGCATTTCAGAAATGACCCGCTGACTTCGACAGCTGAAATTAGAAATACAGACTGTAGCAGGCAATAGTCTCTTACTGTTGACACAAATTTAAGAGAAAGGCGCATGTTTTGTCTGTTTTGTTTTTTTTTAATAAATACATAAGGGAAATTTTCAGAGAACTTTAATAACGTTTAAAAAAAAGCCACACACACACAACATTACTGCTTTGTATACTTTGATCAAATCGTTTTAAGAAGTGCAAAAAGTTATGCAATGCTAGCAACTTTATGCTAGTTTATGTAGGTAATTATCATTTAGCTTTGTAGTTGTCATCAAGGCTGCTGGGGCAGTAATTACTCTTTAGCTCAGTTTTCCAGACATGGCTTAAACATGGTCTTAAACTAAACGTTTTATTCAAAGTCTAGGACTAAGCTTAATTCATGTCTATAAAACTGGCTAATACTGTTAGCTGACCTGAGCTTGTGCTAAGCCAAGCTAGCACTGGGGGCATATTTGAGTTAGCTTAGCAATTAGCTCACTAGATTTTCTTATTCTTATTTTCATTGTTCTTTTCATGCCATTTTTCTTAAAGCAGTTAGAAAGCAAAGTAACATTTGTTGGTGACTGTAGAGGAGCATAGCTGAGGCCTAGCTAGAGAGCTAAAAGCTTTTACAAGGTTTTGTTGTATTTGCAGCTGTCAGTGCCTCAAAGTTACCACAAATTAAGCCTACACTTTAATACATTGACTTCTGGTAATGAAAACTATTTAATTATCAGTCAACTTTGTAAAAAAAAAAAAAAAAAAGCAGCATAAACAGGAGCTGATCCTCCAGTTAAAGCCTGAGGTGCAATGACTAAAGTAGCACTCACTCAGCTTATGAGTAAGGCGTCTCAGCTGCATCACTGTACATTTGGCACTGGAAGTACACATGATGAGATCACTGCGCACGAGACTGCAGAGGATGATACAAGGACAGGACACAAGGCACGGTTGATAAAGCCTACTTGGAAAACCTGTCTGAATACGCCTGCTGGCATGTACTGAGAGAGGCTCTGCAAAAGCAGGCGCGAAAGCCAGAGGGGGCTTTGAAAAAGAAAAACAGGGTTTGGGTTTCATGCAGTCCTGTGACACAGACTGAGACATGTTCACTTCCTCAGCTTAGGAGAAAAGAAGCTCAGGTTGTTCTTGTTGGCTTTTAAGTTTGCCTTCTTCATTTTAATTCTACACATTCAGGCCTAGCTCTAGCGTAGCAACGCCCATAGTCTATAGTAAGCCCAGAAACAGGGCCTGTTTGAATATGTCCATCCTACAGGATAACTTGGTGATACATACAGGATAAAGAGGAAGTCTGTGGGAGTGAGATGGCTGTTTAAAACCACTATTGATCTCACCCACCACTCTCACATCCAGGCATGTGGGTTTCTTTGCATATTTGCGTATTTTTAGATTAGACAGAGAACGCATTGACTTCAAAATAAATAGACTCAGCGCCTGTGAATGTCATTTGTTTTGTGTCTGTCCAGGGGATTTCATGTGCTATTCATGTGTTGTTTAAGGTTTTTTTTTTCCTGAGACTTTTATAATAGGATATGTGGGTTAAAACCACGGATACCTCCCCTCCCCTCAACGCTCGCTCTATTGTTACCACAGACACCTGCTCTTAAACAGATCACTCAGAGAAACCCGTCAGCTCTTGCTCACTCGTCATATTATACCATATTGTACGATTCACAGACCCTGTTTTTACTGGAAAAAGAACAAAGAGCGGAGGTCATGTCAAAAAGCTGAACTTTACCGATCGTTACTGCACACTTACCATCACAAAGTCGTTAAGGCTGGAAACACGTCAAAGAAACCTCTGGGAGGTCACAGCCTTGAAATACCCCCTTACTAACATTTATTTTAAATCAGGAGAGGACTCGAGGGGGAACACAAAGGACTTGCATGTGATAAACTGCACAACTTGTAGTGTGCGGCATGATTGTGTAACCATCGTAATTTCTGCTCTTAGCAGTTAACCTGCCTTTGACTTTGGCTTAAACTGCACTGTCACTGCACCGCATCATTATCAAAGTTAAATTCTCAATTTTCCAGCTACAACTCAACAAAATGAAACGTGGATATTTTGGGGGCAACTGTATAAACATGTCCTAACCGCCTGACATAAACACTTGGAAAGTTGTTCATGCTGCATAAGAATTACGATGCTGGCCCCGTCACGTGGACCCACAGCACCAGTTGTTATTGGGTGGTGTGTGTTTATGTTTTCTGGGAGCAGAAAACCTGGATAAATGACAAAGTGCCATAAGTTAAATATATAATATTATAAAGGTGCAATGCACATATTTTACACATCAATCACACTTTATCAGTGACAGTGAGTACAGATTACCTCATGAAGACACTGGCATGATGTCTTTATGATCACCATGCCAGGTTCTTATTGGAAAGGCAGGCATGTAGACATCCCTACAGACCCTTGTGCTAACCTTCTCATGACGAAATGTACTAAATTTTAGCTGGATTTAATAAGGGGGTCACCACCCGCACCAATGTTTTAAAAGCAAATGCAAGATAAACTGTAAATGGCTTCTCTTACAGTGCAAACTAAGAAAACTGTGGGTTTTATTAGCACTAGCCTTCTCACCTGGTGGTCCGTACCTGTTCACTGTAGCGTGGTGAGCAGGATCCGGTTTTTGGAGACGGATCGTAAACCAAGTCAAAATAAAATTGTAGAAATTCACTCACCATAACTGGAGCACAGACTTCTGGATCTGGATCATCTGTTACTGCAGATTTTCAGCACAGCAAAAGGTAAAAAGGCACCAGCACCCCAAATACAGTGTGACCCAAAGTCTTACTAAAATAAAGAAAGGATAAGATAAAAGAGAGAAACTTGTTATGAAGAGAAATGTTAGGTATGTAATGTTAGGTATAGCTACCATCCATCCATGCGTTTTGTTGCACTTGTCCCTATTGGGGTCGTTGGAGAGGGCTGGAGCCTATCCTAGCTACCACAGGGCAAGAGGCAGCAGGCACCCTGGACCCTGGACAGGTCACCAGTCAGGGCTAACACAAAGAGACAGACAACGTTCACACTCACATTCACACCTACGAGCCATTTAGAATCATCAGTTAGCCTAACCAAACTAACTGCATGTCTTTGGATGTGGGAGAAAGCAGGAGTACCCAGAAAGAACACCTTTTTTTAACATTGACCCCGTACAGGAACTGGCTTAACTGCAGAGCCAGTCTCACGTGGCAACTTCAGGTTTTGGCATGTTTACGTTCGCTTCATTCTTCACCTCAGAGTTTCCTGTTTGGAGTAAGAAACGGATTCAGAGCCTGCATCGTCTTACTATGCAAATCAGCTGGACATATCAACAAACCTGTCGGGGCAAGCAAAGCTGCAAAGGTTCCGCCTGCTACAGCTACTGCCATTGCATTCATTATCGTTTACAAAGTAATTATATGGAAAGAACTGGCCTTACTGGTATGCTACGCAATGGCTGCGCTGTGTTTCGCTTTCCATTGTACAGTCAGTTTAGTGCCCCCATTTCCAGAAGAGATGAGTACCAAGTGTTCCAGTTTGATCATCAGAGCAGCGCCGTAGTGAATAGGGTCACACCAAGTGGATAGTCAAAAAAGTGCAATTTTCTTGCTAGTTAAGTAAATACGAGCCTATTCATTAACTGGCAGCCGGCCAGCTCACCAAAGCCGGAGTGCAGACGTTTGATGGAGGGGAAAGTTTGCTCTTGTGTCAACCACCAGATCATCACACCAGACAGGAAACCAAGGTTTATTATAGCTATGATATAAACCAGCTGTGATCTTTATCTCACGCTTATCTTATTTACATCTCAAAACCACACTTAGTGCATACTGTACATGCTGATCCCTGTCCAAAGCACAGCCAAAAACAAACCAAAACAAAATGTATGCAAACAGACGGGAACGACGGCATTCTCTGTTCTGCTTAATGCATCTCAGCACAACACGCAAAAGCATTTCCAAGTAACTGTGGCACCACTAATTGCAACACACCTTGAGGCTGCTGTTGCAACCATTTAAGCATTTGCAACATGACAAATCACTCAATAATTTACAAAGAACAACATGCAAATTCTAAAGAATATGCATATAGAAGAAGGAAGTAACACAAAGCATTATCTCTCTCTTTCACACACACACACACGTTCAGCAGACTTATATCATCTTTGCATCACTCAGCACTTTAGTGCACTTTAGATAAGCCGTTCCCAGAAGCTGCTCACAGCACTGGGGTTCTTAGAACCTCAGTGCTGTGTTTTGGTTTGTAAAATGATTTTTTTGCCTGCTTTATGTCTTTAGGGTTTCTCGCAATATGAAAAATTGAGGGGAAAAAAAGTGATTTCAGGGAAAGTTTTTCAAATACACATTTAAGAATGTTCATTGTCATGGAAAGAAAACGTTTCATACAAAGTGAGTCAAAAAGTGCTGACATTTCATCTTACACCGTCAAGGTTTTCAGAGAAGGGCTTAATCACGCCGTTCCCCTTGTTGCTTAATATCTAAACTTTTGAGCTTGGAAAACATTAACCAGGCTGTGGCTTTCTGAAAAAGTATTTTCATCGACAGCGGAGATCCCCCTGCACTCCAGAAATCAGCCCCACGCCTCTTTGTGCTGGCGAGGGGGTGGGGGTCTTTCTGGTTTCAGATGCAAATGCTGCGAGCGTTGCACCGATGCAGCTCGAGCTAGCCGCGCTTTCACGCACTCAGAACAGAAGCTGGAGGAGACAAAGAGAGAAAGACAGCAGAGATGGGGAAGGAAGGGGACAGGCATTGTGATGGTGGGGGCATCTGCAGGGGACGGTCGAGGTCATGAAATGTCAAAGCAAAAAAAAAAAAAACGAGAGGTGCACAAGCTCAGTGATTTCATACCATCATCATTTCTATATTTGGCCTTCTTTGATAGAGTCATGTAAAAAGTCCTATTAATAGTCATTTTTCTACAAACTGGACATTTTGGAGTTTTTTTTGTGCTGCACACTTAAAAAGGAGTGTTTGTGGTTGTGCATGAGTGGATGCATTTTTGTCTTTTTTGTAATACAAGGTTTTGAGCTCACATGATTAATCGCGTGGTCTTTATTTTTTACCATCGTATGACATCTACTGTGTGCGGGGCTGAGTCACAGGGTTAAATTCAAATGCCCTCCCATGTGTGACATTTATCACTAATTACTTTTCACTAAGTTTTTTGTTTTTTTTCCCCACAAAGATATAATCATAAAATTTTACAAGGAAGCCCAAGATTTGACTTCTGTTAATCATATCGACACGAAATCACACTGAACAGGTTTTGTGAGTCATCACCTGGATGTGGTAGTAACTCATAAAGAGGAAGTGATCATCTTTTGTTCAGCTGCATTAGACAGAGGGGAAAACCCGGCTGACACATGGACATTAGACGCTTCTTCATGAATAAGGAAATGGGAATTGGCCATTGACCAGGATACCCGACAGTGATTTTTGTTCCTTGAAATGATCATGTTGCCTCTGTTCGGGTTTTTCATTTTTATTTTATTGTTACACCGTGGCATCACTTTCACCTTGGCTTGTTATGTGATAGGGAGAAGTTGAAATCTATTTTCACTTTCGTGCAGCAGGATATCATTTTGTTTCTTTTAAATATTGTCTGCGCCATATTTTATTGGTGTCCAGATATAGAAAAGGGGAACTGGTTTCATTTGTGACAAGGCAATATACAGCTACAGTTTTAGCCTTTAATCTCATGCAGTAGTGCACAGTGTAGCGCATGAATTCATGTTGTATGTATTCAAAACACCAATGTTACAGTGTACATCGGGACTGCGCCAGACACAAGCTGATTAGATTCTGCACACAGAACTTACTCATTACACTGTAAGGATCTGTTGGTGTATCTGGTAGTACTCGTCACAGTTCACAGGAAACATTAGTGATTACGGAAAGAACACATTTTTATAAATGCTCAAAAATCCTGGCATCTCTCCATGCATGCACAATGTTTCAGTCAATCAGCAGCCATTTAAAACTTTTCCAAGTAAAGCCCAGGTGTGAACGATGAAACGAATCACTGGCTCTATGTATTGTAAGTGCTACCTCACTGGCAGCTCACACTGGGACACATAATGCTTTTTCTTCTACAGTAAGACAATAACATGTAGAACTCTAATAACTTTTGCTGAGTTCTAATTCGGCACGACATGTTTTCTGCATGAGTTTCTCAGTCTTTCACAACGCTGGAGGAGTTTTGGGCCTCTGTTCTTTACAGCGTTGCTTCAGTTTTGGGGCCTGCGGGCGTTCATTTACGCACAGCTCTCTTAAGGTCACAGGATTTCAGTCAGGTTCAGGTCTGGACCTTAACTGTGTCACTGCAACACCGTGATTCCTTACTTTAACCAAATCCTCACACCCCTCCACCACTGTCCTTGACAGCTAATATGAGGTATTTGTACTGATATGCTGTGTTTGGGTTTCACCAAGCATGGCACTTTGGTCTCCTCTGTCCAAAGGACATTGTTCCTGAAGTCTTGTGCCTTGTTAAGATGTAACTTTGTAAACCAAAGTGTTGCCTCCATGTTCTTTTTAGAAAGAAGAGGCTTTCTCCAGGTAGCCCTTCCTAATAATACTGTACTGCCATAAACTTGAACCTGCTAACTGAAGATTGTGAGATTTTATTCCTTTTTTTAGTTTCGCAATAGTAAATTTGCTGGGACGTCCCATCAGGGAGCATTGTGTTAACGCACACCTCCAGACCTGCAAACTGATGACATTTCTGCTTTTTACGGAGGTGCTCACATTTACTGATGGTCAATTAATCAAGTCCATTTGAATAGCAGCACCTGGCAGCTATTCATCTTTTTAATATCCATGGAAGCAGTAAGGGTGCACATAGTTTTTCTAATTTTATTTTCCCATTACTGATGCATACTTTTGTTGCAGGTTGCATGTAAGCAGTCAATATGCTGTAAGTGCTCCGTGCCAACGGGAAATTGTAAAAATACATCACTTCCTCATTGTTTCGGGTAATACAGACTATACTGCTACATATGGAACAGATACAAAGTCAGTTACTGTTACCACTATACATTTGTGTCCTTGGGCAAGACACTTTATCCTACTTGCCTACTGGTGTTGGCCAGAGGGGCCGATGGCGCGATATGGCAGCCTCGCTTCTGTCAGTCTGCCCCATGAATGTGAGAGTGAATGAATAGTGGTATTGTAAAGCGCTTTGGGTGCCTAGAAAAGCGCTATATAAATCCAATCCATTATTATTATTATTATTATTTCTCTTTCTTTGGCCATTAACTGAACTTAATTAATGGCTAAAGAATTTTAATAAAGTTAAAGTTGGGGTGAAATAGATCCTTACAAGCCTTACAGACTCCTATGTTTTAGATATCAACATAATAGAAGCATATAGGATTAGTGAGATGTGGTTCTGCATCACTGCTGACAGTAAGTCAGTTGGTGGTGATGTCGCGTGGTGATGTTTTAATGTTTTGTTTTGGGCTTTTTTAGATACCATACATATTTCATAGATCACTTTGTTTTTGGTAATCAACAATTTTCATTGCAATTAGTAATAATGACGTCAGAGTGTTGTGTTATGTATGAGTATAACACAAACAAGTGACAAGCGAGGTCAAAGAATGGCTCTTAGGAAACTCTCTTATCTTAAATTATAAGAACACTGAAATCGTGGTTTTTGATGGTAATTTTCCTCGCAGACAACTTTGTGATGCCTTTGGTTCCCTTGCCAGCTCCCTCTCTGCCACTGTTAGCAATTTGGGCGTGTTGCTGGATAGCTCTTTTAAATCTGATAAACATGTGTCCGCTGTAGTTAGATCTAGTTTCTGCATCTCATTTCTAAGGCTAGGCATTATATTCCACATAAGGACCTGGAAAAGCTCATCCACGCCTTTGTGACCTCTAGGCTGGATTACTGCAACTCCCTTTATTTCAGTCTTCATTCTGCCCTTCTTCATAGACTGCAAACTGTTCAAAATGCGGCGGCACGCCTTCTGACCGGAACTGGGAGGTTTGCCTCTATTACCCCTGTTCCAGCTGACCTGCACTGGCTACCCATTAAATACCGCATCCAATTTAAAATACTGCTGCTTACCTTTAAAATGATCAGCAACACAACCCTGAGCTACCTTATCGAACTCCTTAGCTCATACATTCCCACTCGAGCACTAAGATCATCTACTCAGTTACTCCTGGTGCAGCCAAGATCTCGTCTGAAGTCTAGAGGCGACCGTGCGTTTGCCTTGGCTGCACCAGATTTATGGAATAACCTTCCTCTTGCTATCCACGCGTCTGATTCTCTCCAGTCATTTAAATCACGGTTAAAAACCCATTTATTTAACCTTGCCTTATTTAATCTGATCCCTCGACTTACTCTATTTTACCTTTTAACATGTGCTTTTAACATGTTTTACTTGATATGCATTTTATGCTATTCCTGTGTATTAGTGACACTGACCTGTTACCATACCTGGTACTTTGTTATGGTCCTATAATATTTAATCATATTTAATATTTATAATATTTATGTCTTATTTTCTGTCTTTTATGTGAAGCACTTTGGTATACCATTGGTTTTAAATGTGCTCTATAAATAAAGTTGTATTGTATTGGATAAGCAAGTATGCTAGAAGAAGTACTCATACACTGTTTAGGAATAGCTCAAAACATGCGACATGCTACACTGAAATTATTTTTACAAATTTAAATTCAGTGTCTAAACCCATATGGAAAAGATATAAATAAATCTTATAAAGTTTGTATCTGTCTTGCGTGAAACTTGTATGAACAGATATAAGATCCCTTGAAAAATTATATGATGAAACTTGTGTGTTTTGGATACTTTGTAAAATAATATATGGAAGTAATGAGAAAGTGGCCACTTTCATGAGTAAATCATATACGTTTTTACTATTTCTTTTCCATATGGGAAATTTTGTAACAATAAAAATGTTTAGAGCTACACCAATTGCGCAGCCTCAGTTGTAAATTTGCATTATTCAACATCATGACAGTAAAATATATTTACTAATGCATTTTTGTGTAATGCAAGATCAAATGTAAATAGCATTTTTATGG